ATGTTTATAAGTGTATTAATTCTGCCACATTAGCTCCAGTTTATATGTCAATATATGCTTTGATCAATAGGATTCGCTTTATAATGACGTTAACAGATTTATCACTCACCACTCATAGATCGTATATTTATTCAAATTGAAACTTTTATTTGTTGTCACAATGTTCGTTCGTGTATATGTATGTTTGTAGAGTATTCAGCTGACCACTGCTACTGAAATTTGTGAATTCATTAAATACTGCTTCTTTTCACGGTAGTAAGATTGTTTCATATAGATCAGGAAGAACCCTCTAGTTGTTCTTAATGCATATTTTGGATTATTAGTTTTCGAATGAGTGTTAATGCCGTTAACATGTATTACATGTTAGGGATATCAGTGAAATGGTTAAGAATTATCTATTTGTCTGTTTTCGACATAGAACTTTGCACCGATGTGCAGCAGTTCAAGTCGTCACACTCCATGTAGCACACAAAGCAAGAGAAGAAAGTAGAAGAAATGCATAATAGAGACAGTAGACAGGGATATGAGACAAAAGGAATAATAATAACGAAGAACAATATAGTTTCATTGGGAATTATAAGTCACAAGGAGTGGATGCATCTGCGCCAGCCATCACCGAGAACTATTTTGAGCCATATCATCACCAATTGTCTCCAGCCTTCATTGGTTTTTACCGTCCCGAGGATCCCAACCAGCCAGTCAGGAAGTCTACACCTTCCTACGTGGCTGGCTGTCTGGCTTACACTAATTGTTGTGGATTTCATTGACTGATGAAGCCATGTTTTGGGTTTGACCGCCGCTAGCTCTTTTCCAGCCTGACTCTATGTCAGCTACTGAAGAAGTATTTGATTTTAATCTTCTACTCAATCGATACATATGTGTAGGACTGACAGGAAATATGCATCAAACACTAGAGTTGTTTTAATATACTGTAGACTTTATTAGGAAACAGTCTCATAAGACTGCTCCTTTTTCTTGGACTGATTTACTTAAAAGAGGTCTTTCATGTACGTGTACTAGACTATGACTCACACTGTGTGTGAGGACTGATGATACTACCTAGTTGCCTTATTTTTTTTATTTATTTAAATACAAAAAACTGGATAAAATATGGCACCGAGAAGATGTGCCACACATTGTGTGAGGGCCGAAATAATGCCCGGGCGCCCAGACCGAAGCAGCTGGTTTTCTTAAAAGACCACCCCCCCTCGATCCTTTGACTTGAAGTCTAATCTGTGGCGTTAGCAGCTACGTTCTGATGGTTGCCGGTGACGGATACAGATTCATACGCCACTTGATCCGATTGGATTCTGGAGCCCATCTACCCCATAGTAAGTGCTTTTAGTCTAACTGCTATCCACACAAACCTTCACACGGTAGGACCTGCAGTTTATCTTGTTGGGTGGGTCACCACTGCTGTATTCAAGCCCGACCACCACGACAAAGTGGCAGTTGTCGACTGGGACTCAGTTACCTAGCCAGAAGGAAGTAGACGAAGTGGGACTCAAAACTGTGTGAGCCTTTGACTAAATCTCAAGTGTTTGAGGAAATGATCCACTCCGCAGAAAATCTTGAACTTCAGCAAATCATCTTCATGTTACAGGGGAAATAATTGAATGTGTCTGTATTCATATCCCTTTCTGTGGGATGTGTTTGAATTACGTTGGAAACATTTGTTTCTCGAAACAAATTAAAAACAAGCTACAAATATTAACAAAAACAAAACAAGTAGTTCAACGAAGAAGCTCTTTTTGGAGGATTCATTTTTCTGTCTAGCTGTACAATCCTATTTATATACAATCTTTCCATGAGAGAGGGTAGTAACAAAAGTGACGAGTTGTCACAAACATAGTTTTTAATATTAGTCAACGCATAAAAAGAGTTGAATAAGTGTATTAGAGTAAACTGGCGTCCCTCATGTACATAAAGTGAGAATATACTATTATTATTATTATTATTATTATTATTATTATTAACGTATGAGTTGTAATCAGGGTGAACATAGAAACGAAGAGAAATATGGAATCATGTATGAGCTGTGAAGAAAGATGGGAGTTTTAAGGAGTTAGAAAAACAAGCAAACAAAAATCAAGTTAGCAGGAATCAACAAGATTGTTACCATGGCAGAAGAACTGGTTGAATAACTCTCTTTTGTATGCTTAGCCCCGGTTTCTCTAACTGAATAACTAAAGCATCAGGACACAAAAGAGTATTGCCTGTGGCAAGTTATTCTTCACTTTGTAGATTACTTTGAAACAGACGTTTGTTGAGACGGGAATGGCCAGTGTTGGCATGGTGTGTTCGATTATCGCACTCCTTATACTGCCATTACTACCTTCTTGCAACCCTATGGGATGGTGTTCTTCAACCCTTTTAGATAGAAACAGGTGAACTGATATATGCACACGGAAGTAGTTACATGTGTGTGTGGTCTTATCCCTGAGGCTTTTGCAGACCGACGGATGGCTGGAGATCACTCCTCTTAGTGTTGCTGCGAAGGATGTCGTGAAAGATACTGAAATTCTTCTCTTAAGGATATAGCAGGTTGAGTCTCCCTTGAAACCCATGTTCATATTCTCCTTCGTTTCTATGTTCACCCTGATTACACAGATCATTCACTAAAATATTCATATTATTGCGTAACTCTAATACTAACAACTATGACTGTGACAAGTCGTCACCTGTGTTATCACCCTCTTTCATGGAAAAGTTGTACATAAATGGGGTTGTACAGCTAAAGAGGGGAATTAATTCTCCAAAAAGAGCTTCTTCGCTGAACTGCATGTTTTGTTTTCCTTAAATATTAACAACAAAGCCGAGGAGGGTTCTACCAAAACTTGATGAATTCATTATATCCTACCGTGTTATTTTACAACATTTGTTGTGTGTGTTTTAGATATGGAAATCGTTACTTTCAAGAACTATTGGTGGTTAAAGCGTTAATCGACAGTTATTCATTTGGTTACATTCATTTATTAGCAGATTTCCTCATATACTTTTGACAAATGGGAAGATTTGTATCCTATAAGGCTTTATGATGGTTTTAGTTTTCCCAAGGATTTCTATATGATATGCTTGACATTGACTTTTCCTTTTTATTCCTTCACGTTCTCCGTGGAACATAAGTCTTCAAGCCAGAGCTTTGAAGTTTCAGTAGCAGTGAGTGTTTTTACGGGGTGGGGTTGCCAACCTCACTCCCGAAACTTCCCTCTTTGTTGGGATTGTAACCGCCGGCTAAGGCAGTTAAAGGTGTGCGCCGAAAAGGAGTCGGAACCCGCACCACATGCATGGTTCGGGATTCATCGCCCTATCGCCGAACAAACCACCGATGCGCTTGATATTGGTGGCTAATGCATTCTAGTGTCTTTTCAAGCGGTAGAACAAGTTGTCTGACTGACTGGTTTTTTTAATGTAGAACTTTACACAGATGTGCAGCAGTTCGAGTCTCCACACTCCATGTATCACACAAAGCAACAGAAGAAAGTAGAAATGCAAAGCAGAGACAGTTAACAGAGATATGAGGCAAAAAAAAACAACAGTAATATGGAAGAACCATATAACTCCACTATAGATAAGATTTTATTTTGATAAATCACACAGTGTTATATAGTAGTATTAACTGATGACCACGTTTCGAGCACAAATTATTACCGCTCATAATCATATCAAGTCACTCAACGTTTTAATCCATTTATATACATGAGTGAAACTGATAATTAGACATTTGAATAAAAATCAACATATGATAATGGGCATTCAGAAATTATAACATGAGTGTTATCAATCAAATACAATCAGATGGGAAATAAGAGGAGTGTTTTTATAGTCAAATATGTAACTTGTAGGAATGTTATGATGTACGTGAATTGAAATAGAATTTTAAGATTATTTATTATCCTCCTCTGATTTGACTGACTGGTGGTAATAATATCTCCCATATTTCTGGTATTTGCATTGAGTCATTACTGTTGCATGTGTTGTGTTGGGTGTAGAATCAATGAACTAGGCAGGACTCAGTAATCAATCTCTCTCTCCACCTATATAGATTACTTTTTAGAATCTTAACCCTCTCGCACCCTATTGTGTGGTTGTGTGTCAATGCATGCAGTGCAATCTCTGAGATTTTTCCTAAATTACTCATCTTCCCGGGGTCAGTTATTCTTACCTTACCTAAATTCTTATATTCCGACAATCTGACTACCTCAACTCAACCTACTAGTTTGACCTATGTAGTTGACTTAACTCACAGTCATTGCAGGGCATTTTGTAAATTATATTATTTTGCTTAATTGGGTCCACTGGGTCTTTTAGCCTACAGAGGTTGTTCTATGTGAGTGAGTTCGTAGGTTTGAATGCCACCCTAATTCCTGCTTTATTGAGAATCTTACCACGTAGTGCGTCAGGTGTCTCCTCCTTATATGATATAACAGTAAATGACTTATATTCTCTCTTATTTATGTTATCATTATTAGTTTCACCACTATTTTTATTTTGCTTTTGACCTTTTCTTTGATATTCCATCTTATCCGTAATGGAGTTATACTCTACTATAGTGCCCAAGTTTTATACTTATATCAATAAGAACCATATAGTTTTATTGGATATTATAAGTCACAAGGAGTGGTTGCATCTGCGTCAGCCATCACCGAGAACGATTTTGAGCTAGCCATATCACAAATTGTCTCCAGCCTTCATTGGTTTTTACCACCCCACCAGTCAGGAATTCTACACCTCCCTTCGTGGCTGGCTGGCTGGCTTAAACTAACTGTTGTAGATTTCCTTGACTGATGAAGCCATGTTTTCGCTTGACTACCACTGGCTGTTTTCCAACCTGATCCATCCTGTCAGTCAGCTAACATTGCCTGTTGTCGAGGAAGGCGATGTCTGGGCTAGGCATACGTGGCAAGTTGTCACTCCTGTGAGTGTATTGTTTTTTTAAAAAACCTTTTAAGACAATCTTTAATTTGTTTTCCTATATATTTTTTATTTTTCATATTTAGACGCTTTTTGTAAAGTCAATCGTCCATATCACATGCTAAACTAATTGTCATCATCATCATCATCACCGACATCGCCAACATGTTATTCTAGTCATCACAATTCGAACAGAAGAAAATCCCGCTGGAAAACAAAATATATATACATAAATTACAACAACCAGGGACAGATGAATAATGATATTTTTAGAAATTCTTAATCGAGCTGTCGAAGAATCCCTTTTATATCGATTTGAAAATGCTAAAAATGGGTAGGTCATCACCATTTCCCCTCTCCCCCGCCCTCCTCATCAACTCACCCATTTCCCCTGACCGCCTGATAACTTACTCCCTTCTTTTTCTTCCCTTCGTCAAATTTAGTTTGAAATTTGAAAAATTCGATCAAACATTAGCTGATTTCGATGGAGCTCTTTATCGTATACACAGTGTACCGAATGATCGAGCGAAAATTATTGTCAGTTTGACATTGAATTTTTTCAAAGAATTACAAGAACACGGAACAAATGAGGTTTGTGTATTTATACTAACTAAATTCTTCTCTATTAGGTGTTGAAACGAGAATATGCCCAGTATTTACTAAGCCAACCTGAAGATGGTTGTAGTGTTTCTCTGCTGTACGACTTGGAGAATTTACCAGAGGATTATAGTCAGTTAGCACAGAAAGCTGCACTGCTGAAAAGAAATTGTTTTGCTGCTGTATTTGAAAAGTTTTTTGAATTTCAAGCTTTGGGTGAAGAAGCTGTCGGCGGTTGTAAAACAGCTGTTATACATTATCGACCTGATGAAACACTGTAAGTGTTGGTTAGTGTATTTTGTTGTTGTTGATATTTTCATTTCTCTGATGCACATGAATGAAAAGGACAAGACGATATTGTCGTATTGTTTTTACTGACGTTTCGCTATTTAGTGCTGCTGCTAATAGCTGCTTTATCAAAGTAGTAGTATTATTAAACCAGAATTTACAAAATCCACTCAGCTTATATATAAAGCAACTTAATCATCGTTCATCAACATGCGGTCATTTTTCCCTTGTCAAGTTGGCCACTTGGTTGAAATAACAAAACCGAGTGTAGATTATTGGATTCGATAAGTGTGTAAAATCGTAAAGGCAGCGTGTGTTTACATAATGGAATTACTTATCATATTCGTGTTGATTTTGTCATTTCATTGGGGGAGGGGGTTGCCGTAATCAGGTCAAATTCTGTTTTTGTCCATCATTCCTACTCCGTTCAGACAATTTGGATTCTACTTGATATGAAGTGCTTCTGATGATGGAAGACGTTCTTTGTGATTTCTGAAATTTTTCTGGATGATGATTTCAATATTGTCAAAATCAATTTTGTGGCCTGATTCTATAACGTGTAGACCAACCTATGGTTGATGATTTTTCAAGCTTTTCTAGTTCACTAACTGGATTTCTCGGTGGTCGAATAGAGGCGGCTCTACGGTGTTCATTTCTTCTGATTTTGATTTCTCTGTGGTGAGCTTTGTCCAATGTATATCGCATCATATTCCAAGCATCTTATTTTATAGACACTATTAAATAGAGAATTTTTAGGGATTTGGTCGTTTACACGGACAAGGTTGCTTCGCAATGTGTCTGATGTTTTGAAGAAAACTCTGATATTGTCTTCATTGAGTACTCTTTTTATATCGTCTAATGTTTCTGCTCTATATGGGATGGCAACCCTCTCCCCCATGAAATGACAAAATCAATACGAATGTGATTTAAACGCCAGACGGTAATTTCGTCCGTTGCGGCTCGAGATCATCAGCGGTGTACTAGGTTCCCTCAGAGAGTCATTCGAATGCGAATTCTGGCTAGCTACTTCATATTTTAACTTGATTTACCGCGTTTTCCGTCATACTTGTCTGTGTTGATTTTATAGGCAGCAGTGGCATTTGTAACTCTAATAACCACGAATTAATAGATAATATTTTTAAAAATCGATTCAGCAATATATGTATATATATATATATACATATATATATATATATCTGTGACCCTGTGTGATATATGTAGATAGACTCTTCTGTTGTATCTCTAACCATAGTGTACTGCGTAGTAACCTTATTGAAATATGTCTCTTGAAAGATTCTTTATATGAAGACTTGTAAACACTTTTAATGAGGCTATTGTTTTGGAATAATCTTGGAAGAACGTTGGATAACAGAAAAAGAAACTCGGACAGCTAGTTCCTTCTAGTTTGTAGTAGTTCTTCATAATCTCACATCGATGAATTCCCACACTAAAGTCGTAAGTAGAACTGTCAAGTTAACGAAGCGTGAGATTTTTATCATTCACAACCACTGGATTGGAATTTATTCACTAGTAATATAGAGTGACACACTGTCATCCCATTCCACTTCGCATTGGTAGCTAGATGAACTTTTTGAAATTCTAGTGAATATTCGCGATCTGAGGAGTTGCAAAGCAAGATAATCACCGATATTATTATTAGCATGCTGATTGGGCTAGATCAAGAGTTAGAAAAAAGTTGAGAATTGCCAGTCATTGAATAACATTTTAAGTGAAGACAGGTGTAAAATAAGTTTGATTGGTTGGGGGATTTCATCGTGAGCTGACATCAGTTAAAGAACCACTGGAAAACCAGCTGGGAGTACTGGGAAGCTGTGACCAGTAGGGTACAACATGTTGAACGTAAGGCCAGTAGTAACTCATCGAAGAAGACATTGCGAAGTGGTCGCGCTTTGTCATTATTTGGCAGAAGTTAGAATTCATGGACTGGCCATTAAGGAGTCGGGTCCCAGTGGCTTAAGGGTCTACGAGCTCGTTAGCTTTGTAACCAGAAGGTCCTGGGTTTGAACCCCTGTGATGCGTGCGTACTGCTGAAGAGTCCCAAACTAGGCCGAAACAGCTTTCCAGTACTCCCAGCTAGTTTTTCAATAGTTCTCTAACTGATGTCAGCCCATGATTAAATCCTCCATGCAATCAAACAAAAATCCCTACAAAACCAATACTTGTAAAACAAGTCTGCCTACTATCATCAATGGTATTACTAATTGTGGTGGACTGGATCGTGCGGAAGACTATGCTTGAGAGTGAAAAGGTAGGGACACGTTTGGCCTAGAAGATCTGGACTTCGTGGACGACTTCTGTCACGTGTCACACTAACTCAAAGACATAGGAGAGAAAACTAACAAGTTAGAAGAGGAATCAGCAAAGAAAGGACTCCTAGTGAACGTAGTAATGAAGATACCTAACCACCAACAGCAACAACATAAACAGACCCCAATCACTAACAATAGGAGGGATTTGAAAGAAGTCACTTCTTTCACTTGTCTAGGCAGCACTGTTTCAACCACAGGCGGCAGAAATGAGGATTTCGAAACCAGGATCGGGAAGGTAAGAGAGACCTTCAACTCTCTGAAGTCAATTTGGAAATCTGCTGCGCTCAGCACAAAAATCGAAATTCGGATTTTCAACACTAAAGTCCAGAAACTTAACGTTTCCAACAAACTTCGCTTAATGAGGCTGAAGATTAAATGGCTAGCTGGGAAGAATTAGAACTCTGTCAACTAATCAATCAAGAACCTCCTGCTCAACAAATATTCTGAAGGAAGTGGCGATGAATCGGACACAAACACACGATGAGGAAACCGTCGGGTGACGTCGTTTGCCAGGCCCTCGAGTGGATTCCGAATGGTAAGTAGTGCGTTTATCGTCGCTTCGACGGTGACATGGAAGAGATGAGAGTTTATGGGGGGGGGGGCACTCGTGGAGCTAGCTAAATAGGACTACAAAATCTGTTAGTCAAAGGTTCCATCCATAATAAGTGATAGATTCTGAGTATGCATTATTGTGGAATTCAAGGCTAAAATCAGATAGTTCCCAGTGCTGCCTTTTTTGGCGTCTAGGTGTCTCATTCCCTAGTCAAAGTTGATTCACAAGAAAATTCAGTTTCAGTCATTTGGTGGATTCCAAGTGTCGAATAACACTTCACTTCACCTACTTTAGTTTGAGTGATTAAGAACTAGTCCCCCGCCCTTCATACCCCTTCCTCTACATAATTAACCAGTTTCATAACCTCTAAGCAAAACACATGATCCTGACAATTACTGAATTTTTACTATATCTGAATTCTTTTTGACTCTCAGTGGTTATTGATTTATGTAGAAAAAAAATAAGGATTAAGTTTGTTAGTTCTGCTTTAAAGACACTTTTATTGAATACTATGAATAATAATTGTTATTATTGATTCGGTCGTGGATTGATATCCGTTTGAGAACCATTGAAAACCACCGGAGAGAGAGAGTACTGGACAGCTAATCGTTTCATGCTAGTTTGCAACTCATCAGTAGTATGCACCCACCACAACAGGGTTCGAATCCAGGACCTTCTGGTTACAAGGCAAGCTCGTATACCATTCAGCCACTGGGACCTGATTCCAATAGCCAGTCCCTATGAATTCTAACTTCTACCAATTCATAGTCAAATTAGTTATCAACTCGTAAAAACATAACTAACCCTTACAAACCAAACTATAGAAAATTAATCTGATGCTCGCTAGTGACTTGTTACATGATGGAGTTTCCTGGAGTTCTGGTGAGAGGTCGTGACCAGTGAGGTCCAATTAGATGTCACGTGTGAGGATGGATGTCCCACCAACGACAATAGTTGGGGTCGCGCTAAATCACGAATTGGTAGAAGTTAGAATTCATGAGTTGGTCATTGAGGAGTCGGGTCCCAGTGGCTGAATGGTATACGAGCTAGCTTGTCTTGTAACCTGAAGGTCCTGGGTTCGAATCCCAGTGGGTGCGTACTGCCGATGGTTCCCAAACTAGGATGAAACAGCAGCTGTCCAGTACTCCCTGTTTTGCAATGGTTCTCTAACTGATATCAATCCATGATCAACTCGTAAAAACAATTCTAACCCTTACAAACCAAACTATAGAAAACAAATCAAATCCCTAGGAAATAACTCTTGTAAATTTTTATTAGTGGGTTGGTTCAACTTCTCTCTCTTATCTTTTAAATGTCACGATTTTTAGGAGAAAATTGTACTGCTAGTGGTGCACCATCTATCATAATAAATCAAACAAAAGTAGTTTTTTGTTTTTCTGTTGTGTTTTTTTCGTAATACAGAATAGTTTTTGTTTTCTCTCCTAGTCTGGTTGGTGCCTGTAATGATTTTCAAAAAAAAATAAAAATACTAATAAACAAAGGTATTGCCATTATATTCATATGACAGCTTTCATGTCTTAGTTTTAGTGGCAGGCTTCAGTTAATAAAACAGTGCATATAGATCAGGTGATTTTCATGTGCTTTCGGAATTGTGTGCGCGGTTGTTACTCCTCGGCTACCCACACACTGTGGAGGTTGATTTTTTCCTACGTTACCTGAAACAGAAAGAGAATTAGTTTTGAATGACTGCAGAGCCCATAGGACAACTGCTTGAGGCCAGACACATACGTAGACTGTTTGAATTGGTTTTTAAATAGATAAGAAAATTTGGTTGGATTGGCTTGAGCACTCAACTTACAGCCAGTAGGTCGCGAGTTCGAGTCCCAGATCATCTACTTCAGCGTGGCTGGGCAACTGGGTAGCATTGTCAGCCCTCACATGACAAGCAAACCTGAGTCCTTATACGTATATATATATATATATATATATACATATATAGAATGTGCGGCGCCATTGAGAGAACTATTTTGAGCCATACTTTGATTGGACACTAGCAACTAGGGTAACGTGTCTGGCTTGTCCTTTCTTTGGTGCAGACTGAATTCTGTCAGTCAGGTTTGCAATGTGGCCACCATTCTAGGTAGA